TCTGATCAGCAGCCCAACTATCTCTTAGGACAGAAGACACGCCCCTCGAGGACGAGGGGTGGGACAGGGCAGAGGAAAGAACTCACAAAGAGGGTATTGCCTCCAGGGCTCTACGGATAAGTAGGAATTTTCCCGGCAAAGACCTTGGAGCCTGGGCATTGCGCACCCAACGCGGCCCCAGCAAGGCCAAGGGCAGAGGCGAGAAGCCAAGGAAGGGAGCTGTCGGGGTGCAGCTTGACCGCCCAGCGCCTCCTTACCCCTCACCGGGTCCTCTCTCTGTCCTCTCTCCCACAGGTCCCGCCGGTGGATGCGCTGGAAGAGGCCCAGCGCCAGTGGCCAGGCCGCGCCCGGCCCGCAGTGAGCCACCAGCAGCTGTGCGGTGTCCAGGGGCCCCGCTGGCTCCAGCTTCCCCCAGGGGATCCTGCCCCCCTCAGCCTCCGGCAACGCGCCCAGGTACAGCTTGAACTTCTTCAGCTCCACGGCCTCCAGCTCTTCCAGGTAGGCCGAGAGGCGACAGAGGCTGTCGCTAAGCGGGGCTCGGGGCATGGGGGCGTCGTGAACCCCAAGGGACAGCAGCCGGAGCCTGGAGTGTGTCCACACGAGGTGTGCGATTCCAACATGCCCACCGTCTGATCCGCCGCAGGCGAGACTGGAGGAGCGAGAGAGGACAGTCCTTGTGATGAAATAGAGCTTCCCCACCCTGCAGGTGACGCCTGGGCCCCACGCACCGGTGGGTGTTCCCTTCCAAGAAGAGGAAGCTGGGCAGATTAGGAAATCCCAGGAGTTGTCCACCGCGAGAAAGAATTTCACTTCTGCTCCCTCTTCCCGGCTCCCCACACTCCTTCCTACCTCTCCCTGCCCGTGGGCCTTTGCAGTATCCTCAAGCTAGTCACTGCCCTCCTTGTGGTTAGACCCCCATTCTGCTGGTATCAGGCTTGGACAGGCCACCTGCATGAGCAGATGGTCCGTGAGCAAGCGTGAGTGTGAAACGTCAACCCGTGTGGGCAAACCTCTCTTCTAGGTGGAAACGTTACAAACCTGACCGCAGGGGTCTGCTGTTTTCTCTTTTCTCAGCCACAAGACTGCCATATCCCAGAGGGGGACTGTGTGGTAAGTAGGCAGAGCAATGGTCCCCCAAAGGTGTCTGTGTCCCAATCCCCGGAGCCTGTGGTGTGCTACCTTACAGAGCAAAAAAGACTTTGCAGATGCGATTAAATGCCAGGCTCATGAGATGGGGACATTACCTCGGATGGTTCAGATGGGCTTAGTAAAGTCACAAGGAGGACCAGGGTCAGAGGGTAAGGGTGATAGGAGCAGAAGGAGGAGTGATGTGATGACGGCCGGAAAAGGCGACGAAACGGATTCTCACCCAGAGCCTCCGGCGGAACAGCCTGCTGACGCCCCGATTTTAGCCCTGTTTCAAACTTCTGACCTCCCAAACTGTAAGATAGTCCACATGTAGAGTGGACATGTGATTTGTTATAGCAGCACAAGGGACTGATACAGACTCTTTTTTCTGCCTTGGGCGAGGAATGAAAAGGATACAGATGAAGCCACAGCTAACAGGCTCTGGGGGACCATGTATGTGAACAATGTTGCTATAGGGACCCTGCATGTGAACAACGTTTCCATAAGTCAGGAAGGTGGAGGGCTCATTGGTTACTGCCAGTACCTTAGCCCAGACTGACTGGCAGAGGGACATAATTACTTTAGGAGACAGTCAAAGCAGCATTGTTTCACTTAGGATGCTGTGGGCTGGATCTAGGATTCCCAATTCCAATGCCTTAAACAAGGAGGAGAAACAAACCACAGCTGCAAGAAATAATATGGATAAAGCCTGTGGGCATAATGTTAAGCAAGGGAAGCCAGATATTAAAAAGTGTGTTCTAGGGGCGCGTGGGTGGCTCAATCGGTTAAGCATCCAACTTTGGCTCAGATCATGACTTCATGGTTTGCGAGTTCGAGCCCCGTGTCAGGCTCTGTGCTGATAGCTCGGAGCCTGGAGCTGCTTCAGATTCTGTGTCTCCCTCTCTCTCTGCCCCTCCCCTGCTCGTGCTCTGTCTCTCTCTGTTTCTGAAAACTGAATAAACCTTAAAAAAAAAAAAAAGATATCGGTTACCCTGGGAATGGGGTTCAACTGAGCCCCAAATAGGGTTTTGTTGTTGTTTTTTGAATATTGTATTTATTTTTGAGAGAGAGAGAGCACGAATGAGGAAGGGGCAGAGAGAGAGGAGACAGAGGATCCTACATGGCTCTGCTGACAGCCGAGACTCTGATGTAGGGCTTGAACCCATAAACCGTGCAATCATGACTTAACTGACTAGCCGCCCCATAGCCCAAACTATTTTGATCACCGTTTTCTTCCCAGCAACTAGAACAGCACCTGGAATACAGTAAATGCCCCTCTTATATTTGATGAGCCGTATAATGAATGAATCACACATGTATATAGCATTTTATGTGACCCAAGATGGAGACATTACCTAAGGGAGGGCACAGTTTGGAGAAAATAGATAAATAAATATATTTTGTTAAACTACTTGGAATGGAAAGTAAGACTTTAATCTTTTTAATGTTAATTTATTTTTGAGAGAGAAAGACACAGAACGTGAGTGGGGCAGGGGCAGAGAGAGAGGGAGACACAGAATCCGAAGCAGCTCCAGGCTCTGAGCCATCAGCACGGGGCCCGGCGCGGGGCTCGAGTTCACGGACCGTGAGATCGTGACCTGAGCCGAAGTCACCCGGGTGCCCCCCTTGCCTCACTTTCATATGGAAATGGTGAAGTGCTTGATGAAGGGTGGGGAATTTCATGGAATGTTGTGCAGGAATTTTTCAACTATTATTACTGGTCTGGATTTATCAGGAGGATAAGACAGTTGACATGAGGCGGGAGACAGGGAATCAGGAACGTTATTCCGCCAGGACTCAGAGAGATGAGCGGCCCCCACAGGGAGCAGAGAGTCCGTGAGTGTTTCTGTGCAAGAAGCCAGCGACCACCTGACTTGCACGCTGGGGAGAGTTCTTGCGGACTTTCCAGGGTCGGCAGTGCCACAGGGAGATCCCACAGGGGCCCCTCTCCCGGGCCCCGCACCTCTCCACCGCACCAGCAGAGTGACCCTGGGAGAGTCACCTTACCTTGACTCCAAACCTCTAAAGGCCCAGCAAAGGATGGAGAAATAGGTCGCAGGACAAGTCCTTACATAACTTTGGTAAAATGGGAATCTCAGAGGTGAGGTATTGGGCTCTGACCCTCAAACGTGACCTACTTCGATCTTCCGACTTTCACTAAGTACTGCGGCCGCCAGAAGTCTCCCCGATAGACGAGCAAATTCTCTGCCTCTGTGGGACTTCCTGTCTAATGGAGACAAAATTAAGGAACACAAATAAACAAATACACAAGCGTGTGGATTTCAGAGTGTGAAAGATGCTACGAAGGGGACAAAATGCAGACTGGAGAGTTCAGGAAGCCTTCTGCAGGACATGGTGTGTGAAGTGAGTCTTGAAGGGCGAGCAGGGTTCAGCAGGGGAGGGAACCACAGCTGGGCAGGTTGTGGGGGGGGG